ATATCTTTTTTTAATATTGTTGATAAGACTGTTTCAATACTTTTAATAGGATACTGAAGAATTTATTATGATTGATTATAGTTGTTATAAATAAAATTGTTTTCTATAACCAGTGATCTATTGTATTCCATTGAAAATAAATTTTGATGTTAAACAAAAATCGTCGAATAATAAACCAAAAATAATAACAAAGATTCAAAAACAATACCGATAGAAGTCGATTATGAACAAAATGATAATTTATATAGAAACTGCAAGTTCTCATATGAAAACTTTAGTTATGAGTAGTTATTTAGGGTAAAAAAATTAATTCAACTATCAACTCGATTTTCAGTATTCTCAATGTAGTATATTTTGATTAAAGGTTTTGAATTATGATTGACAGAATATTTTCTATTTCAATTCAATGAGTATCCTAATTATTCTATGAAAAGCATCTGTCAAGTAAGTTTAAAAGTTTGCCCTGCGTCACGAAAAAATCTACTCACATGGGTTTATCACTATATATCACCACTTATTCATTGTAAACTATACTTCTTTAGCAAGAAGCTTTTTTTTCTTTTTCTCCTTTCTGTTTGTTCAAACGTTCTCTCAATTTTTTTTCTGTATTTCTACAAGGTTTTTGTCTGTCATTGTGATGTAGTAACTTTACAATAACTATTATGAAGCTAAATTTGTAATTTTTAACGATTTTTTCTCATCAATTACAATGTAACATCTTCATAATACTTATTATAAAACTACATCACCATTTCTAAACTAGTTTGATAAAGAAGAAGAAAATTCCAAATGCCTCTTATTGCGAAGTTTATTATTTCTGGTATATGTATTCTTTCCTTTTTTCTCTTTTATTTGACAATAAATAAAATTCAAAAAAATTATTATTTGCGATATTGAATAGTAGCTTTATGTATATTTATTTATTTAGAATAAATCTTGTTGACTTGAAAAATTGAAGAAAACGTTGGTATTTTGTGTTTCTAAATTTATCAAAATCCTTTGTCTTCATAGATTATATGAGTTTTCTAGATAGTTAAATTTTTGGGAGTATTCTGGATGCCCTTTATTCTCTAAATGCCGAATGTAGATGTTCCGTGTTAGTTGTTTCTCATAGTTGTAATATAGAAGAAGGTTTCAAGAATTTACTTATTAGTTTAGATCTTATGGATTCACAGACTTATGAACAAAATGGAATATATCCCAATAATATACAATATATTCAAAACTATAAAGAGTATTTGCATTAATTTTGGTAAATAAAATGTATAAAGAAAGCAAAGAAGTCATTAACATCATTGTTAATTTTCCAAACGGCGTAGAAATGGTGTTCTTCTTCCGACATCAGCGGAAACTGGTTAACATCCTTTTTGTAACTGACAGTTTCCTTTGGCAATATAATATCCATTATTCTGATTATAACTGGGAAATATCATTACATCAAATTGTTTTTCTAATCTTTCTGGCGACAAAAAATTAAACTGTTTTCATATAGTTTTTGTGTTATGTACACATTTTATCCGAAGAAAAAAATGTGTGATTATTTATGAGCATGACGAATTATTAAAGTTACTTTAGAATGCTGAAAAGTAGTTTCACTTATTTGATTTATTTTATAAAGCGTTTCTTATGTTGATATATGAAATTAAATTTGATATAAAGTGGTCTCATATTATGAACAAATAAAGTAGTCATTGTTTCTACATTAAACAAGATTTTAAGATATACGTATGTTTGTTTTCCGCCTATACATAAACTACGCAAAAAAAATCACCATTCTAAATGTATAATATTTCAAAGTGAAGCTCTGTTACACATTTCTGACAAGACAAGGAAGTCATGCCTGGTTTTTCCATCATACTGATGAATTAAATAAATATCTATGATGTGTGAAAAGAAAGAAACATAGCTGTAATATAAAGAAATGGTTCCAGAATTATCTCACTAGTTTAAAACTTACGAATTTAGAGATTTATGAAGAAAACAGAACGTATTACAATGATGTACAATATATTCAAAACTCAAAAGAGTATTTGCATTAATTTTCCGAAATAAAATATAGAAAGAAAGTAAAGACGTCATAAACGTTATTGTTAATTTTCCTAACGGCATAGTGACGGTGTTTTTCTTCCGACAACGGTGGAACTTGTTACCATCCTTTTTTTGTGACAGACAGTTTTCTTTGACGAGATAATTTCCATTATTTCGATTATAATATGAAAAAGTAATGGCACAAAATGGACTTTTTTCTAATCTTTCTTTCGAAAAAAATGAAACTATCTTCAGATAGTTTTTACGTTATGTACACATTTTATATTATAGCAACGTAGAACTGAAAAAATGAACGAATAGACATTATTCTATAGGACGAGACATATTTTATTCGAAGAGAAAAGACTGAGTGTTTGTGAAGATGAAAAATTATTAAAGTTACTTTAGAATGCTGAAAAGTAGTTTCACTGAATTGATCTATTTCGTAAAGCGTTTCCTATATTGACATAAAGAACTAAATTTGATATAAAGTAGTCTCATATTATAAATAAATAAACTGATTTTTTTCACATATAACACGATCGTCAGATATATGAATTTTTGTCCTCCACCTGCACAGTAACTATGGAAAACAATCATCTTTCTAAATGTATAATATTTCAAAGCGAAGCTCTGCTACGCAACCCTAGCAAAAAAATTCATGACTAGTTTGCCATCATACTGATGAAATAAAAAAAATATTTATGATGTACGGAAAGAAAGAGATATAGTGGTAATATAGAGGAATGGTCCCAGAACTATCTCATTAGTTTAAATCCTACGGATTCAGAGACTTATCAACAAAACAGAACATCTCATACTAATATACAATATATTCGAAACTCCAAAGAGTATTTGCATTGATTTTGATAAATAAAATGTATAATGATAGCAAAGACGTCATAAACGTTATTTGCAATTTCCTAACAGCATAGTAACGATTTTTTTCTTCCGACATCATCGGATATTCGTTACCATCTTTTTCTTGTAACGGACAGTTTTCTTTCACGATATTATTTCCATTATTCTAATTATAACAGAGAAACATCACTGCACAAAAAAAAAAATTTTCTGACGTTTCTTTGGAAAAAAATAAAATTATCTTCGGATAGTTTTGTGTTATGTACATATTTAATTCGAAGAAAAATGTCTGATTATTTGTGAAGATGAAGAGTTATTGAAGTTACTTTAGAATGCTGAAAAGTAGTTTCACTGAATTGATTTATTTCATAAAGCGTTTCTTATATTGATATAAAGAATTAAAATTAATATAAAGTGGTCTCATATTATAAATAGATAAAGTGATCATTGTTTCTGCATAAAACAAAATTTTAAGATATACATATTGTTGTTTTCCGTCTGCACATAGACTACGCAAAAGAAAATCATCATACGAGATGCATGACTTGTTCAAAGTTAACCTCTCCTACACAATCCCGACAAAAGTGTCAAGCTTTTTTTTATCATACTGACGAAATAAGGAAATATCTATGATGAGTGAAAAAAAGAGAAAAGAGAGAGAGAGAGAGAGAGAGAGAGAATAAGAGAGCGAAAAAGTGAAAGGGAGAGAAAGAGAAAAAAAGAGAAAGAGAGAAAAATTGAAAAGGTATTTAATGCTATGTCTTCACAATGCATTTCATTTGAAGTTATATTCATTTCTTAACTAACATTCTTGTTACTTATGCGGTGGAGAAGAAATCTTTCATTGCTTCTGTTTTTTTTTTTTGCACAATCAGACACACAAGATATACGATCATTTCATTTATCTGAAATGACTGGTTGGCAGTTCCAATGTTCTAACACAACTTGCTTACCATTTGCCACTATCAATGTGTCGAATATCCACCAGTGTCACGTGGCTTGTTTAGCTCAAGTTCATTGTAAAGCATTTAGTTTTCATAAATTATCATCTAAATGTGAATTATTTGCTGATATATTAAACCAAAATGGCAATCTGGTGGTCGATATAGACACTGTTACTATGATTGTTACGGGTGGAACACGAATACCAGCCGGTAAGTACAATTACGATTATTTAAGAAAGATATTTTATTGATCGCAACAAAAAAAACTGGTAGACATACCGAAGAAAGCGGTTCATAAACGCTCGTACTAGCTGTATATTAAATATCACGAACAGTATATTCATAACGTTACTTTTAGAATAGCACAAACAATATTATAAGCAGAAAGATCAATATGTCACTTCTTTATAGCCTGCCTTAGTCCTATCTCTTAGAAATCGATCAACTACCTCAAGCTCTAATATGAGTGTATGCCAGAAATGAATTACAAAGTAATTCAAAGCTTTTATACATTGTATATATGATATATGTATGTTATGTATAAATATTATATATACATATTTATGTAATTAGTATGAGTTTTTAGAATAGATTTTTAGGACCTATTAGGTAGTACTAGGGCCAAGTATATGAGGCTAGGGGCTCGGTCAGGGCTCGGGTGTCAGATTGATGTAGGAGTGAGTTTCTGACACCCGAGCCTGACCGAGTCCCGAGTCTACCGAGCTCCAAGCCTGATCGAGCCTACTGAGCCCGAGCGCTGACCGAGCCCCGAGCCAGAGAGGCTCAGTCAAGTCTCGGGCTCGGTACATTCCCAGCTACAACCTCACTGACACACCCTGGCACTCTCAGGTACTCTCTGGTTTTTTTACTGTACCTGGTATCGCGCTTGTTCATAATATCTTTATAAGTCCCTACTAATCCCTAGTATCCGTACTAGACCGTACTTAACCATCTTGAAGGTGGGAGGGTGTGGACGCGGATCTTCTTCAGTTTTCACCTCTATAGTGAGGGTGTGGGTATGTCGATTGAAGAATAGTCGCATCCATGTCCAC